TAAGAAATAATCAAATAGAGAGGCAGAGAAAGAGGCAAAGGGAGAGGGAGAAACACACTCCCTGCTGAGCAGAGAGCCTGATGTGGGACTTGATCCCAGGACCCTGAGATCACGATCCCAGACAAAGGCAGAGCGAGAGGGAGAAGCAGACTCCTGGGTGAGCAGGGAGCCCAGCGTGGGCTTTGATCCCAGCAATCAGGTTCCCTCATCAGAAGGGAATCTGCTTCTCCCTTTGCCTCTCCTCCCCCCTCTCCTGCTTGTGCTCTCTCTCTGTTTCTCTTAAGTAAACAAATGGAATCTTTAAAAAAGGAAAAAAAAAAAAAGAATTCAGTGATTCATCACTTACATACAATCTCCAGTGCCCGTCCCAACAAATACCTTCCTTAATCCCCATCACCCATCTAGCCCATCCCCCATCCACGTCCCTCCATCAACCCTCAGCTTGTTCTCTATAGTTAAGAGTCTTGTATGGCTTGTTTCCCTGTCTCCTTTTTTTCTTTTCCCCCTTCCCATATGTTCATCTGTTTTCTTTCTTAAATTCCACATATGAAGAGAAATAAGTCAATCGAAGAAAGACAACTATCATATGATCTCCCTGATAGGAGGAAGTGGAGATGCAACATGGGGGGTTAAGGGGGTAGGAGAAGAATAAATGAAACAAGATGGGATTGGGAGGGAGACAAACCATAAATGACTCTTAATCTCACAAAACAAACTGAGGGTTGCTGGGGGGAGGGGGGTTGGGGGGGAGGTTATGGACATTGGGGAGGGTATGTGCTATGGTGAGTGCTGTGAAGTGTGTAACCCTGGTGATTCACAGACCTGTACTCCTGGAGATAAAAATGTATTATATGTTTATAAAAAATAAAAAATTAAAAACAAACAAAAAAACTCCAAATATGATTGAAATCATATGGTATTTGTCTTTGACTGACTTACTTCATTTAGCATAATACACTCTAGCTAAATCCATGTTGTTGCAAATGACACAATTTCATTTTTTGATGGCTGAGTAATATTCCACTGCATATACATTTACCACATCCTACAAAGTAAATGTTTTGCTTTGAGTTTTCTTTCACAAATACCCTGCTCCTTATGTAGGAGATGTAGCTATTACTACATTCCTATGAACTTATTTTACTTTCAAATCCTTGGGTAAGAAGTACTTATTTAAGGGCCCCCAGGTGGCTCAGTTGGTTGAACATCTGCCTTTGGCTCAGGTCATGATCCCAGGGATTGAGTCCCATGTCAGGCTCTCTGCTCAGCAGAGAGGCAGCTTCTCACTCACTTTCCCTCTGCCTCCCTCGATCTCCCCCTCTCTCATAAATAAATAAATAAAATCTTCAAAAACAGAAGTATTTCTTTAAAAAAAAAAGATTTTATTTATTTATTTGACAGACAGAGATCACAATTAGGCAGAGAGACAGGCGGAGAGAGAGGAAGGGAAGCAGGCTCCCTGCCGAGCAGAGAGCTCGATGCTGTGCTCGATCCCAGGACCCCGGGATCATGACCTGAACCAAAGGCAGAGGCTTTAACCCACTGAGCCACCCAGGTGCCCCAAGAAGTATTTCTTTAAAAAACAAATTTAAATTTTTTTTGAAGATTTTAATTTTAAGTAATCTCCACACCCAACATGGGGCTAGAACTCATAACCCGGAGATTAAGAGTCACATGCTCTACCAGCCACGCCCCCCTAAAAACAGATTTTAATCTTAATCTTTGTTCTTCCTCTCCAGAAAATTAAATTAAAAATAAATTCTATTAAATTACAGGAAATAGTTACAGTGTTATGTCCAAAGAGCTCGGAGCTAGATATTGGGGTTCTTCCACTTAAATTAGGAAAATCACTGAATCTCTTAGTGCCTGTTTCCACATAAGGATAACAATACCTGCATCATGGGATGGGCAGGAGAGTGAAATAATGCATTTAGCACAAGGGCTGGCTGTAGTCAATGCTCAGCAGAAGATGTTTTCTTTCTTTCTTTTTTAAAGATTTATATACCCATTTCAGAGAAAGAAAAAGAGGGAGAGAGAGGATGAGTGGGGGGCAGAGGGAGAGGGAGAGAGAATCTCAAGCAGGCTCCACACTGAGCCTGGAGCCCAGCATGGGGGCTTGATCTCTCAACCCTGAGATCATGACCTGAGCTGAAATCAAGAGCTGGCCACTTAGCTAACTGAGCAATCCAGACACCCCTAAAAATAAAACCTTTTAAAAAAATTTATGATAAAATGGCTTCTCAGCTTTTTGGCTAAGATCAAGTGTGAAAATATTATTATTAAAAAAAAAGAATCTAATCAAACCATAAGAGACTCTTAGTCACAGGAAATAAACTGAGGGTTGCTGGAGGGGAAGTGAGTGAGGGGGATGGAGTAACTGGGTTTGGACATGAAGGAGGGCATGTGATATAATGAGCACTGGGGACTATATAATACTGATGAATCACTGACCTCTACCTCTGAAACTAATAATACATTATATGTTAATTCATTGAATTTAAATAATAAAAAGAGTCTATTTGACTTTAATGAAAGCCTAGTGATCATCTAGGTAAAAGAATCTGCTTCATGAAATAGGCAAATCCTTCACATTGTATATTTAAAGTTTTCAGATATTGATTTCTCTAATATATAATCCAATATTAGAGTCCCACGCAAGGGTCTATGCTCTGTTTTACGCTCCATCTTTGACTCACAGTAAGATCTTGGGCAAGTCACTGACCTTCTCATATTTCAGTGTATCAAACTAGCCAAAAAACTAAAGCATGACCTCACTACAAACCCAGTAGACTTGAAAGGTGAGATGTGCTTTGATACATTAAAGAATTATCAAAAGAGAGCTTAAGCTAGTAAAACCATATAAAGAATCAGAATTATTAATTTTATAATGAGTAAAATAATTCTAAAATATACAGTTTTTAGCAAGTAACATCATGAAAAGTTTCAAAGCTTTTTATCTGGGTGAATTTGGTTAAATGACAGGGAGAAATATTATTTTCAAAATCATGGGTTAGAGCAATTTAACCAAAATAATTATAAGGAATGGAAGACAGAAGCTAATGAATCCTCAATAACTAAACACATTTCATTTCCAGGCCATTATTTCCCCTTACTTATACAATGTGCACAGTATTTTAAAATGTATTTCACTAAGTACTATATGAAAAGAATATAAATTCCTTTAGAAATGAAGCAGTTTTAAGATGTATCTGGCCATTTAGACTTGTAACTCACCAGATTATTGAATATTCTTTAAATTGATTTCGTATTAGTCCCTTTCCCTCTATTTCCCTATTTCCAACTCTCCCACTCAGGTTTCCTGCCATGAGCAAGCACAAGATGAACTGGAAGAGGAAGACAAGGAGGACAACGATGATGATGATTAGCTGATTTGTGAAGTAAATAATGTCTTTTTAATCTTCAGAGAGAAGGCAACACCATTCCCTGGCTTGCTGCTGCAGCCTCTTTTTAAACTGAACAGCAGGCTCACCCTTTCTGCAGCATTTCAGAAAGAACAGCAGTAAGAACAGTTCGACAGAGGTTATCCCAGAAGTCTTGTGGCATCTGCAATATGCCTGAACATTTTTCCTTTTTAAAAAACCTCTTTCTGCAAATTTTGTCAAAGCCAGAAGCAAACGTCACCAAGGGGAGCCTTTTCTAGCAGAGTTTGTCAATTACACACTTTGCACATTCTCTGAAAGAGTAAACAAATGATAAATTGCAACTGTTGCCCAGGCCCTGTAAACAAAAGATCAAATTCTCTGGCTGCCTTGGCAAGAAAACTAACTGCAGCATTTTGTCAAGATTTTTACAAGTTCTGATTTCAAATTAATAACTGAAATTGCCCTTTTTCTAGTTTACAGAAAAAATGAAAACATTTATTAAAGATAAAATATTTTAAAGAGAGGAACAGAAACAAGATTGTACATTAAAATAAAATCTAGTTCCATTGTAGAGACCACTTGCTGTTTGTTCCAGCTCTAATATAGGGGATTCTAAGTGCCTGTTTTTTTCCTTCTTTGTTTTTATGAATGAAGATCTGATCCCTCTTAGGACCGGGAAAATTAAGAAAAAAACAGAAATCAAAGCAGGGTTTTAAGGTCTATGGAAGATTCACACGGGTACATTAATTTCAGTTAAGACCAGAGCCAGGATGAATAGTATTTTCCGTAGGAAACAAAACAGTTAAGGGAGAAATATTATTCAGGCATACAAAATATTCAGTGGAAACGTGAAAAAATTAAAAAAGACTGGCTAAGCATATGAGCATGACACAGATTTAGCAACTTAGCGTATATAATGTTTCAGAAATTGCTTCAAATTTTTAAAAGAAAAAAGACATCTGACCAATTTCTTGCGAGAGGAAAACTGCTATGCCCCTTCCAGACCCTCTCCAAGGCAGGGGAAGGTGTGCTGTCAATTCCTCAGTCCCCAGCTCTCCGCGGACCTCCCCTGCCCCAGGACCTCCTGAAACATCCCGAAAGGAAGGTGGCCAGCTGGAGACCCCGGGGCGCGGGGCCCGCGGAACCCTGCTGCGCCAGGAGAAGGTGTAAAATATGTGAACTCCGGGGAGTGGGGGTGTCCCACAGGTGGAGGTGGGGCCGGGGTGAGAGGCGGATAGCTTCTCACGTCCACGGCCGCCCCAGGTCGGGGCTGTGGAGACACTCAGCCCTAGTCCAGCACCAGACAGGAGTCTCTGGGGATTCCTCGCCCCACCTGCTCCTGCGTCGGCTCCAGCCCCACGACCTCTCGCCTCTCTTCGAACCCGTCGCGTCCCGGGGCCCCAGGCTGGGCCAGCGGCGGGCGCGCCGGGGAGGAGGGAGGAGGGAGGAGGGAGGAGGGAGGAGGGAGGAGGGAG